TATAAAAATATATTATATATACATTATATAGGGAAAAATAAGCAAACCATGTATTTCAAGGATGTTTTAGTGATTCAATTTCTATGACACTGAAGACAACACCACCTCTAAAGCCCGTATCATTATTACAAATTAACGCATGGAGTGAACACGTCTTAATGGCAAAATACAGAATGTTGTATCTTAATCTTTAAGCAATGGTAAAACAGCTGCTTAGAGCCTCAGAAGGTAGAAGAAAACAGCTCTGAGGGAGTGCAGTTTGTTTTAAACCTGCCTTATTACTAAAGACTAAATAGAGGCTAAAAATACCCTTACAAATCTCCAATTTCACAATAAAATCCTATTATCTGTACTGATTTTTTCTAATTTTCATGTATATCAAAAATTATACCCAAATGTATTGACTAGCACACTGCACCCTTATATGTACAAGCTGCCAGAAAACAAAAGGATTTTCTTCTTTCATTTTTGCTATTGCATTTGAGAATAGCTTCCAATACCTATGAAGAATCCTCTCACTTCTAACAACAGTAACCAGTAGCATAGCCAAAGAAAGACCTGGAAACAGAGACAACTTTTTCTTCCTAAGCTAACTACCTCCCTTGGGTCATCCAACACATCTCACATTCCCCCAATCTTTGAAGTTGTTATCCCTTCAAGAGAAGGCTGAGAATTTTTCTGTGACTTTGTACTGTGCTGAGCACATTACTGCCACCTAACAAGTGACACATAAAAGGAAGCTCCCAAAGATCTATGCATACCAAAAAAAGAATCTGTTTTTACTTTATATTTAAATATCATTCCATTGCCTGAAAAGGAGCATCAGAAGTATCTCCACGGGGAACCATTGCTCAAGCTGCCTTGCTGTTGTATGCTCAAGCTGCCGTGTCAAGGATTCAATCCCATTCCCACTCAGCATCAGCAAGAAAAGTTGCATTTAATTCACCAGTTCATCATGATCAATGTTTTTCAGGGCAATTCTGAAATAATTGTAGGAAGAAAAAAAAAAGGGGGGAGGGGGAATTTTCATACAAGCTCCATATTGATATGTTAGAAGGTCTTTAAAACTCCTTATTAAAATTATTCATAAATTGTGTTCCACATTTTGAGAAAAACAGAAGTGTCATTTTACATAATAAGGCATCAACAAACTTACCGATGATCAGCAGCCCAGCGCAATGCTGCTTGAACTTGGGTAACGAACCTATCCAAAAAACTGCTAATTGAAGGATGCCTTGAAGGAAGCTGAAATTTTAAGGAATTTTTCTCTTTCTCCAGTTCTTCCAGTTTCCGTCTAAATTTATCAGCTAGAAATTAAATTAAGGGAAAAAAAAAAAGTTACTTAACAGTGACAAAAAGGTTCCATTTTACCTGAAGAAGAAAAAAGGTTGGTCAACGAAAAGTAAAATCCACCTCACAGATGGCTCTTCCCCTTTTGATAAAATGTTAACAGTCTGTTTTGCTCAAGGATGAATTACTAAGACTAAATGGAAAACATCAGATAACCAGGATGCTAAGCTACTTTATTCTATGACAAGGACAAAACTGCAGGCTTCCCAGTGCTTTCACAGAGTTTTAATTTGGTAAAGCTCCAAAGAATTGGCTCAAAGTTATCATCTGTGCCCTTTTCCTAGAGCAACAGCTCTGAAGTAAATTCAAAGAAAACTCCTACTCTTCACTGCTTCAGTTTTAAAACAATCTTAGATGGCAGTTGCACATTTGAAGTCTGACCTTTTAAAAATTGCATTGTTATTAGGTCAAGAACTGAAAAATCACATGTGATATCTCAGCAATATATTTCAGCAGAAAATGCACATGCAATTATAGCAATTAAACACTTATCTCGTTCCAGGCTCTCCTGAATTATGCTTTACCACCCAACAAAAAGATTTACTTTCAACTTTAAATGAAAATAACAGTGGTCCTTAAGAGAGTGCTTTGACTCCACCCTAACTCTATAAATTTCTTAGAGTAAATGCTTCTCTATGTTAGTTCTTTGTTTTCTTTCCTTGTGTAGAAAACAAAGGAACACGGTTCCAATTACAAATTATTATTTCTAGTATGTATATTCTCTGTTCTCTATAGTGCCAGTATAATAGAAAAATCACATATGTGACAAATAACAAGCCTGGCTGGTCCAAGCCAGAACACCTTTGATGATACATTAGTCAAATCAGAGAGTTTTGAGCTAGCCCACAAATGGAAAACCTTTACAGCTCAGTACTTTCCTTATGACCTTGCTGCCTACAATTTTGCATGATTAGCATTCCTTCCCTTCTAACATTTTCAATACAACATGTTACTATCAGAATAACATCCATCTGTGCATGCTTTTTACTGCTTATTTTCTTTCTTTATCCTCAAAGGGGTTTTAAGAAGAGGGGTTGTTTACATTTGCTGGTTTAGTGAAATGATCCATTTTTACAATAATCTATCATTATTATTGATCTCCCTTCTGCTTCTGTGCTGATGGGGTGCAATAAGACACAGAACATACTAATGAGACTAGATCTTAATGATTCCTAGTTTTTACTTTCATTATAAATAACCCAGCCACCAAGCCAGGAAACATGAAATTGCTGCTCTACCCTTAATTGGTTTAGTGGCGGACTTGGTAATGTTAGGTTAATGGTTGGACTGGATGATCTTAAAGGTCTTTTCCAACCTAAACGATTCTACAATTCTATCTTCTCCCTAGGCCAGCAGACTGTTCCGGGGTAGTTAAACTCATGTTGTTGTTGTTGTTGCTGCTGCTGCTGCTGTTGTTATTGTTACTAGGGTGCAAAACACTGCCAGAAGGCTCTAGCTGAAATGATCACCAACCAAGTCACTGCAGGGTCCAGGCCTTGCCCCAACAACCACATGTACACGTGTGCATACTCTTCCTGCAAAGGAGAAACACCTTTTCAGCGCTGGTGGTGAACCACATGTGCAGTGTGTTTCTCAGGGACCACAGCTGAACAGATTCATCCTATCCCTATCACCACAAGGAAACTGGAATTTGGGCCCAGATGAGTCTTCTGAGCTCATACTTTGACCAGAAAAACATATCAACATTTGCATTTTGCGTGGAATTTCAAACACAGCCATCAAAAATATCACTGTTACAAACAGAAAAGTACGGGTTGGATTGTGAACAATGAATGCCAAAACACGTGGAAACACCTCCTTTTACTCCAAGCATTCACCATTGGGCTTCCTGTGTTACCCAAGAGGAGTTGTGGCAACCCTCTACGGCCTTTCAACGATATTGTCATTGTTCTGCGACATAATTATGCTCACACTGTGTTTGTGTGTCCAGTCGTTTCATTGTTCTACTCTTACCCATCCTGGCCCTAGAAACAGGCTATTTTGAGAAGGAAAACAGATTAGGGGATCCACATGCCAATTCATTCTCTCTCTCATTAATTCTTGGCTGCATCCTGCTTTATATATTCCAGTCTACACAGAATTCAATTAGTTTCTACTAACAGACGTTTCTAAATAATTTGTTTCATTGGCATTTTGTAAGTACTATTGCTGGCCATATCTGCTCGTCATCTCTCAGCACTAAATGATGGTTTACCCTTTCAGCATTGCGGTTAGGGGTTACGTCTCAAGAAACTCCACCACCACTGAGCTGAACACTGCAGCACTCAGCTTTTAGGCTCCTCTCCTGTAGAGTTTGACCTGGCTGATGTCTTCAGTGTATGGAAAGACCAAGGCACCTCAGTGCCAGCTGCAGAGCAGGGAACCATGCAAACAAGGTTGATCTCAGTCCAGCTTTCAGTGCTGAAGCTGAAGAGCAATCTGGATCAAGCAGAAGTAATAGAAATGATAACAAGTCTAGCAAATAGACATGTGAAAAAGACGGCAATAAGCAGGGTTCCTCAATCCAGCAGAGAGAAAGACTGAGGGGAGCAATTTCCAGTACTATTACATACCAGGAAGGAAGCTGCAAAGAAAGCAGTAACACAATGCTTTTCACCTCTCCTCAGAACTTGAATCCTCAGTAACAAACCTGAGTTGCAGCAAAGGAGATGAGGAAAAACATTAGAGATAGTAAAGCACTAAGTGCTTGGGACAGCCAGGAAATCTCTGCTGGTGTTGGTTTTCATGTCAGACAAACAGCTCTCAGGAATAGCTCTGGCATAGTTTTTAAGGCTGAGGCCAGCAAGATCAAATGTGTTCTCCTGAGACCCCTTCCCACCATATTTTCTAGGATTTTCCATCCAAGAAACAGACACATAAGGTCTTTGCTATTCGTAAGCCATCAGACTCAAGGACACTACTTTCTTTTGCCTTCATTCTGGTCTTTTAAGCATGTTATTTCAACACAGAAAAGACCTTCACAGGATCCCAGAGCTCACTGATGGACTGAGACACCAAAAGAAACTACACATGCTCAGATACCTCCATCACACACAAAGGCTTAACACTTTGTTCCTCTGTGCCATACTTCACCTCAAAATAAGTAATTTAACACGCAGCTTACATGCAAAAAGAAATCCCCTGTTTGATGAAGTTCTTAAATGGAGGAACTTTAATGTATTCAATACATACTGTTTTACAGACAAGCATTTGGAATAAGGCTTAATTCTCTTTACCAGCCTCTTATTTCACCGTATTCTGTTGCTAGCTTGCTGCCTTGCAGCAGTCCTATGGATACCCTATACGAAGCTGCTGCTTCAGTGCAAACAGCAAAAGTCAACCCTTAAATTACCCTCCATCCCAGCCCGTTACTGCCTGGTACACTTCAGACATCCCACTCAATTTAAAGCCAGGGTACAGGCCTGGAAGCTGCTGACTAACTGCTGTTCTCAGTTGAACAGACAGCAGTCAGAGAACTGCAATGTCTCCAAAGATCATGTTTTGTAATAGCTTTGAGCAAAGGAAGCAATTTCCATAATTTTTAATTGACCATATGAGAACATCTGGCTACCTCTCTAATTTTTTACATATTCTGATATTGGTTTTTTTTTCCTGTGAAGAGAAGGTTCACTTTACCAGAACTGTTTATCATCATTTAAAAAACATTTAAGAATACCATCACAGTAAGGATAGAACCTCATTTGCTACCTACTGCATATATTTATGTTTGTTCTTTGCTGATAGGTGAGAAGATGATGAATCGTGCTATTCTACAAATTTCTGGACATTAAGGAAATGTTTCTTCACCTAGTTCAACTAGAGAAGGCCATTTGATCCTGCCCCACAATCCTGTAAAGGAACCCCTCCCTCCTTCCCTCACCTTCCCCAAAAATCTGAAGGATCTAAACTAGGATTTGTGCAGGGTTTACATGCGTAAAATCACACTTTACAGCCCTAAAGTCTTTTTCTCACCTACTATACACTTCCATAGCCAGGTAACCTCCCAGCATTCACTTTCTTAAAAACGTAAAGCTTCCAAGATGACTGAAGTGTTTTTGTATACTCAGCATCAAAGATATTGTTACCTGTTTTGTAAGAACTAAAGAAGTCCCAGGTTCAGATCCAAAGACCCGTCTTCTAGCAGTCTGCCTCCAACCACACACAGCAGCAGGCCTTTAGAGAGGAGACTAAGAACCAGGGTGCAAAGTGCCCCTTTACCTTGATGCTGCTCCTGAACTTCTAATGTTTGTCAGCTGAAAGACTTCCTGAGCAAGATATTACTCCTAGATCAGGGCAGGGGGAAGGCTAGAAAAAAGTCTCCAACAATTGGACATCTATCATCTATCCACCAGAAACTTCTCTTTTCTCAACCTATCAATGCTTTTGGTCTCCAAAATATACTATGACAGAGAATTTCAACATGGAATTATATAAACACACATCCCATTTGGTAACTTTAAACCTAAAGTCTGATGATCTTATTAGGTGGTTGGTGTTGGTTTGTTGGTTTTTGTTTTTGTTTTGTTTTTTTTTAAGTAAATAAAACAAAACATTCCTTCTTCACTTTCCCTGCGCATTAATAACTCAGGCATCATCATGTTCAAATTGCGCCACTCATTTTCCAGGATAGAGAGACTTACATTAGCTAAAGCAATGCTACAAAGGCTAGAAAGTGAGGAGTCTAATGCAGAGCTTGAATACATGACTGAAATGCAGCTGGAGAACAGATTAGTAAGCAAGGTGTCTACGGTCCAATTACTAGCATTGGCCTCCTGCAAAATTACTTGCAGAAGAACATGCAGACCAATTAATACCCAAATCAGACATGTAAAGACATATACTGTGATCAGAAATTAAGGCATTACAAGCAACTGGAGTATGCATGTGCTCTTAATTTAAGGATAAAATAACTAGCCATTTAACAGTACCAAACAGATACACAATAGAAGATACTCAA